AATTGCCTACATACATATGTATGTAGCATGTAGTTCGTAGGAAGTACAACTGAATATATATTTACACTATAGCCCTGAAAATATTTGCTTTTATATCGTTTAAGTCAATAAACCTTATCGTAAAAAGTCGACTTACATATATGCATACCAAAAAATAAATAAAGTACCTTTTACTGTCATATCTCGACGCATAAAAAACTCAAAACTAAAACAAGGCACTCAGTAGCTCAACACTAGGCAATTCAGCCTAGTCAGTCTGTCATTGTGAAGACTTCAAAATATCTGTTATACTCAAAAATATGCGGAAAACTACTACTTCTACGCACTTTGTCGTGTGTGTGTCAGACTTGAGACAAGCAAAAATATTATATTTTGTAGCGAGCAATATTCTAATGCTAAATGTAATGTATATACTAGTCACTAAAGATAAATAAGCAAAAATAAATAATAAAAAACATAAGTTTCGTTTAAAAAGTATAAATCGGTAAATATTATATATAATCTATACACAGCATAGACTTTGTAAGTTTTGTAATGTTTGCTTACACATATGTACTTACATATGCGCGCTCATTTTTTACGAGCGTACATTGTTTTGATAAGTCTGTTGATTTTTTCCTGTCATACCTATACACCCAGTAATATATACGCACTCTGACTTATTTACTTGTCACTTTTTCACTACTTCATATTTGTTTTTATAATTTGCTTGTTTACGCTTGGCGAACGCGCCGCATACAACGTTACACATGTAACTTCACATGTATGTGAGTTAAAAAAAGACTTTGACCACGTAAATTCTCAAATTGTATATAATAAAGTAGGTGTTGTGCGCTCACTTGCGCCATGTACCATAAACATATCCGCTTCAAGCGTAACATATCACCGATTACATAAGCTTCTACTTCTATGTATTTAATGGCGCCTTGACAGTGATAAGTTACAAGTTGAGTAAATTGTTTGTTACTTCGACGCCTTTCGAGTGCTTCGTCGCGCCTTTAAAATGCACCGGCTTCGTGTGTGATTGATCTGTGCGCTAATAGCCTTCATCGGTTTGCTTACAGGTGCATTTTTTTCCGCATTTTTTATGGTGGGTGTGTTCTTTAGTAAGATAGAATGCAAGTCCCTCAGTTTTTGAGATATAGTGAGGAATCGCTGATATCGGACGACTATAGCATATAGCCGGCATACAAACTGATCGATCAAAATCAAATCCTTGTATGGAAAACTTTTTGATTCGTTAAGCTATCTTCACGAAATTTTGCACACTTTATTTTCTAAGACAATGCTACAATATCCGTGAATATTGTGCAGATCAGATGACTATAGCATATAGCCGGCATACAAATCGATCGATAAAAAACAAGTTAAAGTGCTGCTTATACCCTTTGCTGCTATAATAAATGCAATTGTGCAGGGTATTATAGCTTCTATACAGCTGCAGTTAACGTTGTTTGTTGTTTTTATTTTATTTATTGCATTAAAATAAATATTTGCTTCATTCTAGCGACTTGTGAAAATAAAATTCCAATTTTGTTTTTTACAAATATAAATATTAAAATTGTATAAATAATTAAATATACACATATATCTTATATAAATATATTGCATGTATGTATGTACATTAGCAGCCACGTCACACTTTCGCCAAATCTCGCAATACGCTAATGCGCACAAGGTGAATGACTATGTGCTAGATCGTTGGCTCAACAAGACATTTCTAACATAACAACCACCTGATTGTTTAACTCAACAACGTGATACGAAAATTTAGCAAATTATATGTAGCCAAAATTGTTGCTATGTGTCATCACTCAATAAAAGAAAATAAATAATATTTAGTCAGCAAAAATTAGAGTGTAATTAAATTTAATTTGCCATAAAAAAAGAACGTAATCACTCACAGCAATTGACCGTCTTGGTAACAACAATAAAATATATTTAAAAAAGTATGTAAATGATATTCAGTGTCATGAATTGCTAAAATGCACGAGCATGAATAAAATCTAAAAAAACAAAAAAATATTTTGTTTGTAAAAAAAAAATTTTTTTTGGTTTTTTTTTAATAATTTCTTTTTAATTTTTAAATTTTTTGAAATATTGTTTTTTTTACATATTTTATTTTAATTTTTAAATTTTTTTTAAATATTTTAACATATTTTTTAAAGTTTTTAACATTTTTTTACATTTTCTTTTATAATTGAATTTGAAGTTTTTTTTAAATTTGTTTACAATTTTTATATAAAAAAATTCCTAATTTTTTTTGTAATTTTTTTTTAATTTTCATAATTTTTTTTGTCAATATTTTTTAAAATTAATTTTAATATTTTCTAATTTTATTATGTTTTATTTTTATATTAGTTATTAAATTTTTTTATTTTTTATTTTATTATTTTTTTATGTTTTATTTTTATATTATTAATTTTTTTTTTTTATATTTATTATTTATTTTTTTTATTGTTTAAATTTTTAATATTTTTTTTAATTTTTTAATATTTTTAAATATTTATAGTATTTTGTTTTAGACTTTTTCATATATTTAAAAAAATTTTTTTTTGATTCTTAAGTTTTTTATTTTTTATTTTTTCGCCAACGAAAAGTTCAACGTCTTCGCAAACTGCGAGTGCAATTTCATTTTAAATAACGCATCAGCGTCAGTTTAACCTTGAACGCGTTTAACAATTAACAAATAAAAGGAACACATACTTGCACATTGCATACATACTATACATATACATATATGTACATACATAGCACATATATACATGGGCGATTAATGCTAGCAGCGAACGCATTTGCGGTGCTACTCGGTATCAAATAGTCGAATTAAAATATATAACGCCTGACAAAACAAAAAAAAAAAAAAATCATACTAATATGCACATACACACATCTTCATACAAACAGTTAGCATATGCACGTAGGTACTTAAAATTTCGTGTATTTTCGTGCACGAGCGCGCGAATGACACTTGCCCAGTGCAGCAATTAAATCGCAGCCAATCGGATTGGCGTTAGACAGCGAAGAGCTTTTAGGTGGCGTAGCAGCAGTTCCTTAATTTAATTTCGCTGAATTGGCAGCGTTTTTTTCACGCTGTAAATTTTGTCGAAACATTTTTAGAAATCTTTTTTATTTTTCTGTCTTTTTCTAATTGCTGTATTTTTAAATGCGCGAAATTTGTATTTTCGCACATTTCTGTGATGTGTCAGCTAAAGACGTTTGTCGAGTGAGATACTAAGACTAAGTCAGCGACTTTTTGCATTATAAGTTTTTTTTTTTTTTTTTGTAATTGCTAATCAACAAGTTGGTTGAACTTTCAGGGGCGTATTTTAGTTTTATTTGCAATTTCGTTTACCATATTTTATTCTAGAAAGAAAGGTGTTGTGAAATATATGTGGCAGCTGATTAGAATTTCTCTCAGTTTTTGTGATATCGATCTGAAATTTGGCACTTACTCTTTTCACTTCAAGAAGCTACTCATTTGTCAGAATCGCCGATATCAGACCACTATAGCATATAGCAGCCATACAAACGGAACGATTAAAATCAAATATTTGTATGGAAAATTTGTTGCTTTGACAAGATATCTTCACGAAATTTTGCCTAGATTGCTGCCCAAGGCAGCGCTACAATTTCCGAACATATTACTCACATCCGATGACGGTAGCATAAAGCTGCTATACTAACAAAATCAAGATGAGTAATAATATCGGCACAACAGCTGATGTCTGGACTTAGGTTACTATTTCAATACCCAAAAAGTAGCTAACTCGAAAACACGAAAATTTCTGAACTTGTGAAACGTTTTACTTCATTTCAGCAGTCTTGATATTGTGCGAAAATTTCTGAACTTGTGAAACGTTTTAATTCATTTCAGCAGTCTTGATATTGTGCTCTAAAGCCTGCTGTTGCATTTTTCGATTTTTCCCAACAGCCGCTTGTATTCTAAAGCAAACATAATGGCCTCGTACTTGGCCTACTCTTTGAATCGTTTTTTATTTATTTCTGATTGGTTTTAATTTTAATTAATGCGCATATGACCAATACTTGCATAACTTTTAGAATTAAACCAGTTCTCTTCGCTCAACAGCTGTTAGAGCTAGTTGTAGTGTCAACATAATCTTAGGCTGGTTGTCATTTTCCGTTAGTGAGGCGAAGGTTTTCAGTCAAATAAATAAATATTGTAGAATTAATATGTGCTCAATTTAAAAAGCTACATGTATAATGGTTCACGTCATTTGCATATATTTATTTTAAAATAAAGAGGCCACTAACTAAAAAAAGCTGAATACAGAGTTGCATGCAGCTGTTGGGTAGGCAAACTTTAATGTGAAGCGAAAATGACATGTATCTGAATATTTATATAGATTAGCGGAAAAAAAATCAAAAATCAATAATGAAATGCATTTGGCTTAAGCAAAAAAATTTAAAAAATTATTATTAAATGGCTTTTTAATTATTAAAATGTAAAAAAAATATTATAAAAAAAAAAATAAAAATAAATTATTATACAAAAAATTAAAATAAAAATATTTTTTAATAAAAAAAAATTTATAAATACAAAAAAAGATTTTAAAAAAATTTCAAAAAAAAACTTAAAAAAGTTAAAAAAAAAAGTTTAATGTTATGAAAAAAAATTTTTTTTAATTAAGAAAAATTAAAAAAAAATTAAGAAAAAAATTAAACAAATTAAGAAAAATTAAACAAAAATAACTTTAAACACAGTATTTTTATTTTCGCAAGAATGTACCAATAACATGCGCAAAATACAAAGTAAAATTCAATACCTGTATAAATTTTGAAATAATTATATAAGGAGATTTATGAAAAAAAAAAAAAATAGACAGAATTCAAAAATAATGTTCAACCAGTTCAAGTGTCTGTAAACAAGAAAAAGTATGTACAAAAAATGCAAAGAAAGCAGTTTAAAACTTGATTGGATTTCTCTATCTTATGCCTACATCTCTCCCATCTCTTTCTCTTTTTGTGTCTCATTTCAGTGACAAAGCGCGCATTTTAAATAAAAGCAAGCAATTGAGCTTGTTTGAAGCTAACGCAGAAACAGCTATACAAATAAATTTTTTTGAGGTCGAATTATACGCACACACACACACACACACAAGCCACACAGAATTTCTGCGAGTATTAAAATTTTATGAATATTTAATTATTTAAACGACGATTTTTTAGCATTAATTAAAATTTAAAAAATTTAATTTTTCATTATTGATTTTAGATTTGAAATAAGTGCATGCAATTTAACAAGAAAATATACCAGTGCAAAAATATAAAACGCAAGCATGTATTTCGTGCACAAATTAGTACGCAAAAAGTAATCAAACCAGAATAACAATTAGTGAAATATTATTGAAAAAAAATATTAAATTTCTTTAAAAAGCAAAATTTACACACAATCATAAATTTACAAAAACAAAAAGTGTTTAAAAAAAGTAGTTACACAAGTCTGCTGAGCAGCACAAAACTACGCGCAAGTGAACAACGTGTCCAACAAACACACCCATACACACAACCACACTGAACCCAATCAAATTCACCACCACCCTGACTGGCCAAACAACAATGATGAAACGACGTTGGTCGAATAACGGCGGTTTCGCCTTTCGCATGCTAGAAGAATCCTCAACCGAAGTGAGCTCATCCTCTAACGCGCTCGTGCTCAGCACGGCACTGTCGCCCTCACCGCTCGACTCACCGGTTTATGGTGAACAAGATTTGTGGTATGATGCCGCATTCAATGGACACGGTGGTCATAGCGTGATCACATCAGCACATGGTTGCGCTGCGCTGCTGCCGCCACAAACCACAATAATACCGTTACCACCTTTGGGTGGTGGCATAAACAATATGAATGTCAACGGCGCTGGTAACACCACAAATGGCGCGAATTTTGGTCATGGTAATGCTGTTGGTAGTGGCGGCGGCGGCGGCGGCGGTGGTTTAATGAGCCATGGCAATCAGCTGAGCAACGGGCATCTCGGCAATCAACAAAATGCACAAAATCATAACAACAATAATAATCTAAATATGAATAACAACAATACAAATATGTTGCATGCAACATTAAATCAGGGTCTAATTAATGGTTTGATGGGTAGTGTGTTGGGTGGAAATGTGGGCATGCAACACAATGGACTCAACATGCAACAGCATACGCCGCGTAGCGATTCGGCGAATTCAATATCGTCAGGTAAGTGACGAAAAGGTTGTGGTGTATGGTGAAAAACATGTATATCTAAAACAAAAATGGTTTTATACAAATTCTAACCTAACAAAGCTATAGGAAATTAGATAAAAATAAGAAAAAACGTGAACTTCGGCTGCACCGAAGCAATATTACCCTACACAGGTGTAATTTATAGCATAAACGGGTAGAAAAAGATATTTATCTTGATTTTGAACGGTTAGTTTGTATGGCAGCTATATGTTATAGTGCTCCGATCTAAACAATTCGCTCGGAGATTGTACCGTTGCCTTGGAGAATAATCTATGCCAAATTTCGTGCTGATATCTTGTCAAATAAAGAGGTTTTCCATATAAGAATTTGATTTTGAACGGTTAGTTTGTATGGCAGCTATATGTTATAGTGATCCGATATCGGCGATTCTGACATATGAGCAGCTTTTTGGCGAGTTAAGGACATGTGCAAACTTTCAGATCGCTATCTTAAAATTTTATATACATATATGTTAAATAGATTTGGCATTTATAAAAATCCTAACCTAAATAAGCTTTCAAAACTGTAAAAACTTTATATTTTTTTTTTAAATAAAAACTTGCTGCTTTCAAATCATTTGTATTTATTGCTATTATCCGTAAAGTATCAATCTCTAACGGTTAAACACAAACTGTGTTGCACATAGTGCCACAGCATGTGCTGCGACGATTGTCACTCGCAAATGCAACTCTACTCTGCGGCCATAATGCACGAGGAAGCACACCCGCTGTGTTGCAGGATTAGCGTTGATTTTGAGGTCGAGGCTACTAGCTGTTATATACATATGTATATATATATACTCTATGTACTGCTGCATAGCATGTATTCAGATTTTAGTTTTGACAGCGTCTTTGCTGCGTCAGTGACCCTGCTGTATAATGCAACAGCTGCACTTAGCGGCATATACTTGTAATATATAGATATATCTATATACAAAATAATCAGAGCGAATTTTATGTAGTAAATGCTTGTAGTATGTATGTATGTATATAAGCAAATTATGCTTTGAGTTCATGAGCACATGTTAGCTGCAATGCAAGCATGCTAGCCTGTATATATATACTTGTACATATGTATATATACACATATATATATATTATATATACTGCCATGTCATCTCATTTGCCCTTGACCGCCTGTGCTCTAGTGCACTACTTTCGTTAAGCACGAGGTGAAAAGACTCTAAGTACACATATGGAAAGTTTTTACAGTTACTATTTATAGCTATATGCTTATATACATACAAGTAATTACATGTGTAGACATATTTATTTATCAGCATTGATATGTAAATAAGTAGTGTGCCACTTCTGTTAGCGCTATTAGTTTTTGTTTGACGTTCACAAACTGGGGCAAGGTCAGGAGCAGCACCAACCACGAATTACGCTCAACAGCCGTGTGGCCATTTTGTTGTACAAAAATTTCAGGGTCACTTGCAAATTGCTGCAGTTTTTGTATTTTTGGCTTTAGACCTTTTTCCGCATTTCACCCTCATTGCTGGGCGCAAACCTATATATGTATTAAATATATATACATATGTATGTATTTGTGTTTTTATGCATATATATTAAATGTCAGCTTTCCTGCGTTAATTACTACGTTTTTTTTTAGTTCTTTTGGCCATTTGTAAATTTTGTGAATTGGAGCGTGAAAATTGTCGACCGCCTAAAAACTATACGACGAAATTTAAGTGAAAAAAAATTTAATTACCCACATTTCACATCAATTTCACACAGCTTAATGGCATACATGCAAATCGAGAAATTATGTAAATTTGCCGCAAGCGTTTTTTGCGCGCTGCCACTATCTGCTTTCAAATAGCTCTAATGCGCTTACAGTACGCGCAAAATAAGCAAGTGCCAAAGCGAGTTTTTGCATTGTATGAGTTTAAGCTTTTATAACACCACTTAGTGTGTGATATTTTGTGTGAACTATGTTGATTTCTGCTAATCATATTTAGCATGTGCTTAAGGATCATAAATGCCTCAGTAAGAGCAAACTAAGAGGAATTTTTTGCTCTTTGCACTTCAAAAATAGCACAAATTTAAGAATAGTTGCTGAAGCCAGGCTTTACTTTTTACTTTAGTATAAGTGTTTTTATGTCCCCGTGAAAGCGAAAAATCGCTAAGTTGTGCGAAAGTATCCAAGTTCAGCTAAAAACAGCTCTCAACTTTGAATACTGTATATGTATATAAATAATGTATGTATGTAAAGTGGCTTCTCGATCATATGATATTCCTTTAAATTGTTATTTTATCCTTTGACTTTTGTTACAAATTACTTTGCTATATATACATTTCTTACTCTAACTCCAAAGAGCTTTTTCTATGTATACTGCCTTATAACGTTATACTCGATTCCTTACCTTTACTCACTTAATCAGAATCATATCGCTTTACTATATACTGGGTTACCATTTTTCTAATTAAAAACAAAAATTTATTTGAAATGGAAATTTTCCATTTTTAATTGCAATTTCGGTATTAAAAATTAAAGTTTTATTAAATTTAATTAAAAAATTAATTAATTTAATTTAATATATAATTGAAAATTTGATTTGATTAAATTTAATTTGTTTAAAAATTTTATGTTTGTTTTAAAAATCAAAACTGTTAATTAATTTAATTAAAAAATTAGTTTATCTAATTTAAAATATAATTAACAATTAATCAAATAAATTAAATTTATATCAAAATTTGATGTAATTTATTTTAATTAAAAGTTTGATATAATTTAATGTGAAAATTATTTAAAAATAAAAGTTTAATTTAATTTAATTAATTCGTTTGATTTAATTATTTCGATTAAAAACTTTATTTGATTAAATAAATTTAATTAAAACTTTGATATAATTTAATTTAAAAAATTATTTAAAAATTAAAAATTCAAAGTTTAAGCTAATTGTTAAATAATAATTAATTTGCTAATGTAAAAATAAAAATTAATGTTTTTTTGAAACGCAATTAAACATCAAAAATATCGTTAGATATAATTATTCTGATTAAAAGTTTTGTTAATAATATAATTTTTAATTAAAAAATCGGCCTAAAAAATTGCCAAAATTCGAATTAAAAAATTACAATATATTTTTGTATATAGAAAAATTAGTAACTAATAGAAAATTATATTTCAAAACCAAAGCGATTTCGGGATTCAATTTTTTATTTAATTTAATTAAAAAATTAATCATTTTAATTAAAAATTTGATTATATTTCATTCAAAAATAATGATGAATTTAATTATTTAAAAATTATTTCTAATTGATTTCTGATTTTTAAATCAAAATATACAAAATATTTATTATAATATTTTTAGTTGATTTAATTAAAAAATAGTTATATTAATCAAAAATAAAATTAAAAAATTTATAATTGATTACATATAAATTAATTATTAAATATAATTGAATAATTATTTTAATTATAAAAATTATTAAAAATTAAAAAATTGATTAAATTTAATTAAAAACGAGAGTATAAAAAATAATAAATTTAATTATTGATATAATTAGAAATTAAAAAATTTATTTAATTTAATTTAGAAAATTAATTAATTGAATTCAAAATATAATTTGTAATCGCGAAATCGTAAGAAAAATTAAAAGTTAAATTTTTTATGCCAAAATCAGAATTAATAATATACAAAATATTTAATATAATCTTTTTAGTTAATTTAATTACAATAAAAAATAATTATATTAATTAAAAATAAAATTAAAAAATTAATAATTTATTTAATATAATTATTTTAATTATAAAAATTATTAAAAATTTGACTTAATTTAATTCAAAAATTAATTATTTTAATGTAAAATATAATTTTTAATTGCGAAATCGTAAGAAAAATTAAAAGTTAAATTGTTTATGCCAAAATCGGAATTAATAATTTACAATATATTTTTTTTTTAAATAGTAGGAACTAATAAAAAGTTTTTTTTTCAAATCAAGAGAATGAAAAGTGTAAAAGAGCAGCACTATAATTAAAAGTAATTAGATAATAATAAATACAACAAAAAGTGTTAAATTATATTGAATTTTTTTAAAAAATAAGCATTTCTTTTACAAAGATAAACGAATTGGTAGAACAAGATAAACGAATTGGTAGAAGAAGAAGAAGAAAGTAATTTAAATACAAAAACACATTTCTTTAATTTATCACAAATTTGGTATTGATATTTGTTTATTTTATATATTTCTTTATTTTATTTAATCCGCTGTTTTGGGTTAAAACTTTTTATTTTTTATTTTAAATATGATTTTTGGTATTAAACATTTATTTATAATTTTTCTTTACGATGTTTGGGTTTAGAAATTGAAATATTATTTTTAACTAAAATT